CTTCTATACTTTTAAGCACATAGCTATTTATTATTAACATTGTTCTTCCGACGTCTGATTTCTTTTTAATTATAGGAAATGCGTTTTTCTAAGGTACATAAACTTTTGGGATTGACTAAACTTTTGATATAGCCAATACATCCTTAAATCATTCACGTGCCAAGGTCTTATCGACAAAAAAAAGGAAAACGGCAGAAAATGCAGAAATTGAGAAAGGAAAGGGGCGCGTCGACTTGGACGCGAGGGAGAAAGAGAACCTTCTTGGAGAACGAAAAAGCAGCGCGTGTGCTCGTTTAAACGAGCTGCCAACGAGTAATTAATCATCGTTAACATGCACTCTTTACCGCGCGCATAATGAAGCCGATTAGATGTGCGTCGAAGCTTGCGTTCCTCCAGACTGCGTCTCTCGTTAGACGGACTGGTTTCGCCGATACCACGGAAGGAGAAATATCCACCGGGGGTTTCGAACGGGGCTAAACATCATTTGCGTACTCTAACGATATCGGCGTTCGAGATAAATTTAATATTCCGAACGCGATGTCTGTCTGCTCGACAGTGTTCTTCAATTTCTATCAAGAAGGAATTTCAGAATCGTAGACCCATTTAAATGCAATCTAAAAAACTGAAGAAAATAGGAAAATACGCTTTGTTTTTGTTTAGCAATTTGAGTATCGATTATTTAAAATCATCTTCTCAGAATCTGGTTGCGATTGCATTAACTTTGAAAGATATTCGAATGGGAATCGAGGTTGAAGAACACTGTGTGACAAGGGGAGCACATTATCTTACCAACGATGCGGAAGTATGCCGGTAGCTTCTTGAGCTTACGAGAGGATATTCAGATCGATCATACTGGTTGAATATTTTCTGGTAATGGAACATGGATGTCGCGTAACGATGTACTTAGGTCGGAATGTATATCGCAAATGGCTGTTTCTCCTATAGAAAAAGAACCTTTTGCGATCTTCAACGATCACAAGTATCAGTTGATTAGATTTTAATATATTCAATCATTAGTACAATGCCCATTCAATGATACTTTTTGTAGTATTATAAGTGACGCTGATTTCTGAAAAGGAAGAAGAACAAGAGACCTTCTTCTACATATTTGATTTCGTGGAAATACTGCGTTTCGCATGTAAAAAGGAAGGAAATCGTGCATGTAACGCACGCTACCCTATTCATTAACGAACTCATTAATGTAGTAGTCGTGCTACAGTGGCATCTAAGAGTTCTCTGTGTAGAGATACATGGATTCCATCTGTATTTCTCATTGGCTCTTTCTTGCTCTATTTCATATAAATTTTGTAGATTTGCAATTTTTTAAAAAAATCGTAAGAGAACTAATTTTCACGAATTGTAGTTTAAGAGAAATATATTACTACAACTTAAATTGCTTGTAAACGCGAAATAATGAGTACAAAGAATGTTGTGCTGCGAATTATCAATTAAAAAACATCATTTATTTTCATTTTAGCTAACATTGATTACTTCTTTTTTGAATTCTGTGTAAAATGTTCTGAAATACCGATCGTGTAAAAAATTCCAGGCTGCAGTGTGCCCTCTGAAATTCAGAGTGACGAGTTTAGGAAACACATATTGTACGCAACATTGATAAAATCTGCAAATAATTCTCTTTTGTTACAGACCATATTTCAAAAATTTCGTAAAATTTTATCAAAATTTTTCGTTCGTTTTTATCATTTATCGTCGAAAATAAATGACTGCGTTTTATTCAATTGTTCTGTTTAATAATCAACCAGTAACAAAACCTCGATCAACAAATAGAATGTTTTCAGGCGATTACTGTTTCCCTCATCCTTATTTTAATTGTTCCAATTAATAATTTCGAAACGTTCTATGAGGAAATGTTTGTGACATAACCTAATCTTATACAAATTATTTGCGCATCTAACCTATTTAACGTTAGGTACTATCCACGTGTACCACAATGTGGCGCTGCGGTGCACTCTATTATTTAACATATTTATTAGCTATCCAGAACTATGTCGAATGAAATAATTAAAATGCAGCCCAAAAATTAACGGTTCTACCCAAACGGACACTTTTAATCGCAAAGACACGGCTGTATCGTTCGAAAAAACTATCTGAAACGGTGATAAAATTGGACTAGGAATGGCGCCAAGGTGTCGCCATTTTCATGAAACTTTACCAACACGGTAAATCGAGACGGCTGTGTGGAGGAACAATTCCACGAAGGGAGTGTGTGGGCCGGAAAACAGCCGGAAAAATTGCCAAAAAGCAAGAATAATGTGCTGGTCGTAAGTATATCTTTCCTCAATGCTATTTTCGATCGATTTGAATCGGTTTTGGGTAGAAAACACGGGGCCTATGGCATGGGACTTCCGTTCAATGAACAGGAACAGGAAGTTCCTCGCAATCTGAGGCAAAATAAAAACATCCTGTACCGAAGAATATTTTGAAAAATGCCACGCCACGCTTTCGTGCAAGTAGACAAAAGTAAATAAATTCCGTTTATTTCATCGAATTGATTTACAAATTTTTATTTTGCGACCTACTTTCGATTCCGGTGCCTCAAGGTCGAACGACAGTGATGAATAACCGAGAGTGAAAAATGGAATGCTCCCAGCCAGACCCTTTTATTTTTAAACAATTCCAAATCATGTCAATTGTTATGGATCGTTTGATTCCAGTGTGTGTCAAAAAGACGGGGACTGAGTTGATACAAAGATGCAAGCAGAAAGTATATGCGCCAATGATATTGAGGGTCTGGACTCAGACACTCTTATTCCTGTACGTACATTTCATAAAATATCTTTTATATCGTTAGCGTTTAGGCGCAATTGTTTGATCTACAAATACTCCATAGGTTGAAATTCTTTCCTGTGATGTGTCACATCGTGCACGATCCCAAGATGCCTTATCGATAGTGGAATTAGGAAAACAATTACTTTTTAGTGCTAAGTATGGAGATACGGATACTGTCCGTGATCTAATGTGCAGAGGTGCACCGTTTACTACAGATTGGGTATATATTTTCATACTCAAACTTACAATCTGCCGTATAACGCTTGTATATCATAATGATTATAATAATGTTGTTATTTGATAGTTGGGGACAAGTGCACTACATTTTGCTGCACAAAATAATCATATGGAAACTGCAGAGGTTTTACTTAGAGCAGGAATTTCGAGAGATGCAAGAACGAAAGTGGATAGAACACCTTTACACATGGCTGCATACGAGGGCCATGATCAAATGGCACAAATACTTCTTAATTATGGTGCAGATGTCGATAGTAGAGACATGGTAATTAAATATAATGAAGCACATTTAACATATTTAATTAGATAATATTTGCTTACAAGCACAGTTGTTACAAAGAACCTGTTTACAGCTGAAAATGACTCCTTTGCATTGGGCAGTGGAAAGGGAGCACGTGGAAGTGATGCACGTTTTATTAGAACATGGAGCAGACGCGAATGCAACTAGTAAATTTGATAAGACACCAATTAGTCTTGCATTGGAACATGACAGATTAGACTTGGTAGACATACTGCAGCAAGAAAGAGAAATCGTAGGTATCAGGGCGCATCAGCAAACTCAAGCAAACACAGCAGAACTTGAAGTAGCAACACATAATTTAATACAATTAGATTCTGGAAGGGAGGAGCATAAGTTTGAACTTTCCCAGCAAGAATCACAACCGAGAAGAAAACTTGCACAAGGTACTATGAATTTCTTGATTGAAATCTTTAAACGACGTTCAAAGATTATTTAATATTTAATTATGTACATTTACGTAGTGCAAATGGGAAAGAAGCCACGAATGATTTTCCAACAAATTCATGTTGGAGCAAACACTGATGTTGATCAAGAAAAAGAGATTGAAAGCATAGAAGAAATAACTAATATGAATAATATCAGTAAAAAGCGTAAAGATGTTGGTTCTATTGGAGGAGTGAACAAACAATTTAGGTTACTCGAAGCACATGGAATTACGATGATACCCGTAGATAACGATTCATCGATTGTTGAGAATGCTATGGAAAGTGGAAGAACAGTCGTTTTAACTGGTATAAAATACTACGATCTGACAACGTATTCTTCTTCCATACTATATTTACTTGTATCGAAATCGAGAAATAATTTTTACAGAGGCTGGTAAGCTTGCTCTGAACTTAACAAGAAATTCTTCGATAGGAATGAAACGGCTACACGTAACGGGGAAAAAGGGGTCTCCTCGGAAAGTTATAGCTATTAGAGCAGATCAGATTTTAAGTCATAACACACCTACTCTCACATCCAGAGGTCCAAACATATTAAAAAGATCTTCTATGGATAACAAGGCTGGAAAACTATTCATATCTTCTATTTCTAACACTACGCCCGTATCAACACTTACGCAGTCCAAAAATGTAATATCTTCATCGGAGGTAAGACACCAAACAATATAAAGCAAAGTACTAAAACTATTATATACGCATTGTTTTAAAAGCATTCGTATTTGATTACTTTGACAGAGTAAGGCCATCAGTTCGCCCACAAAAATGACAGAACCAATAATTTTACAATTAGACGATGACATCGAAGAAATTGCCGAAGATGATACGACAGATAATAACGAACCAGTAATGGACATCGCGGTGTTGAATAGACAATTGGCGGAGGCACGGAGACAAGCAGCTGAATATCGTAAGCGACTTCAAAAGAAAGAAGAAGAAGCTGAGATATATAAGCAACAATTGAAAAATATTACGGCTCAAAGAGCAACCAAGTGATTTTTTATGAGTATACATTTCTACGCGTTGAGCTTCATTTTTTGAATAGCCCTGCTTTTTCTACAAAAAGAACTTCCTACATATACAATTTTCAGATTTATAAAAAGCTCTCGATTGAAAATTGTATATTCTCATATTTTAATACACATTCTGTGAACGTCTCATCAATGAACATTGTAGAAATAATTATGCAAGCTTTTCATTACTAACTGCTTACATTTTGTAAAGAGTATTTGCCGAATCTGTGAGATTTTGCAACTGTATTTTATTAATATTCTTGATTTATATTGAAAAAGAAATCCAAGTTTTCGTTTTACAGGGCATAATCCTCGATTATTTAATAGATGTATGCCTCTCGGAAGCTGCGTATTATATGTATATGATTGAGTCTGATTTATACACTAAACAAGTATATTTTAAAAAATAAATGTAGACACTACGGACATCAATTTGCTTTCCACATAATGTTTCGCAATGAATAATAATGTTTTATAGTATTGCTATTATGAAAACAACCTCCTGCATTTTGAAGATTGAACATTTATCCGTAAGCATATTTATTGTTTTAACTACTTCTGTTATAAACCACTCTTAATAAGCAGTATTCTGTTCACTTTTTGGAAATCGCAAAAAATCTTCACATTCTAATACAGATTGTTAGATAATAAAAGATACAATATAAAAATGAAGTAATTATATAAAAAGACAAGTGTTTTTAAATTGTATATATGATCTATTTTGTATATAGCGATTTTTTACTGTAAGATTGCGCAATGAAAAAGGCAATTATGCATCATCGTTAAATACTTAGGATTACACAAAAAATAGTAGAGCGTAGGAAATTTCTATAAAATTTAATGAACGGGACGTAAAATAATAATGGCTATTTCCTAACCATTTATATTTTCTAGAAAATATAGTTAATAAAAGAGAAGAGTTTATCAGTGTACATTGCTTGCGAATAAAATGTTGTAAGAAGAATACAATGATCTGCAGTTGTAAAATATATTCATTTTTTCCATTAGATTGTTGAAAATATTTTTTATGGAAACTTTATCTACAATACAAAATGTGGAAAGCAAATACTTCTAATTAGTCCTAGTGGCATTAAATATAGGTTTACGAATTATTTCGATAACTACTAACTGTTGTCAGTTTGTACATTTTCGTAAAAAGATTTCATTCCAGACACATTCTTTTAACGTGCTACACGATCTAATTAAGAAAATAATAATCCATATTATTGATCGATCACTATGGTGCTACGTATTCAAAAGAAATCCTGAATAATTCAGGACTTTCACAAGAATAATGTACAGCAAACAAAAGGAAAGTAGTCCGTTCAGGTACAAGCGATAGATTGTATTAAGTACATAAAAGATTATTGAATATCATATCCCAGAAATCATATTCAACGCTAAAAATCCTTTATAGTAATATACGTTGTAAATACAGACGTTTATACATACATACGATAATAGAAGTTGTTGATACCAAGTTGCGAATTTTCATTCGGAAATAAACATTTTATATTTCTCGATCTGTTTCACTTGTATTGTTGCACTATTCTAAGTAGACCGTACAAAAGTTGAATTTAATTATAAACATAAGACAAACTGCACGCGTACAATATACATTGACTGCATTTTCAATGTATTTATAGAGCTTATACAAATGTGATTGAAATATTTAAGGGATAGGATATATGAGATAAATACGGATAATTCGTAATAATTAAAATGTTACTGAAATTTTTTGAAAGAAGAATAGAATCAATAAGATCTCGTGACAATTTCGAACATGATTAACCACGCGTGCGTAATAGAAATGATATGAGTATGAAAAAGCTCTCAAAACATTGGCAACAGTTCGTTACTGTCAATTCGATAGTATCGAATCTTTTATGATGCACCTCCTTTTATACTCGCGCTTTGCCTCTTTCAGAAATAGCTCCACAGAAGTATGAAAGAAGAAGCATCGCAAGATCTTGAGAACAATTCAGTGGCTGGATGCTGTGGATATTTGTAATTTATACTTATCGTGTTCCCACTCCCTACCGCTTCATAAGTTCGATCAAAATTTCAATAATGCTTTCATTGAATTAATGTACTTATTCATAAAATAAGCAATAATTATACTAAAAATAACAAATAATTAAGTTATAGTATGTGCTAGCATTGGAGCTAGCATTTAATCAACTACCCTTAACGTCAGACTCGCCATATTCACTTCAAAGCCACCACGATCGTTCGTCACATACAACAATTAAGTCTATCAAATGGTCTACCATCATTTCTCATTTTGTTAACTACGGCTCTGAGGATTTTTCATTTACTATCTTTAAATAGATTAGATAAGCTCTCAGGTTTTACTTAGCAATTATGGACTTACTAACATATATGCACCCAACTGTAAACATACAAATACAAATAATGTAGCATCAGTAAGTCATTAACAAATGTAAGGGACTGTCTGTACCAGAGATGACTAACAATTAATGTTGGCTGTATTTTTGACAATACTTTTTCGTTTAGATGGCGCTTGATCACGATGTCATATGCTATCATCTGTAGGGAAGATGTTAAAAACTTTGCTTATCGATCTGTTCGATGGATTTCCGTTTCATTTTCCGCAGAAGGGGTAGGAAAGTATTGCACGGAATATTACTGAATCATGAACCGAGGGCACGACATAGCAATTGGCCAGTACGACCGAGGGGAAATTTTATCTATTTTCTTTCTAATGGCAATGGTGTCGACAAGGAGTCTTGTCTCTACGCTGCATATAGGTATACGTTCGCTCATGTTTCTGGCTCTTGCGATCGATCGCAACAGTCGCACAATCTCGGCCTGCTGTGAAACGTCGGCGTGTTTACCGTGTTTGATGTATAGCGCCGCGGAGAGGAAGGCCGACGTATAAAGCCTCGTCGATAAACAGTGCGAAAATCGGGACGAACCAGAGTATATACTGTGTTTATCGTATCATATATAATATGATAACTCGTTGAATCCGCGAGTGTCAAATCGTACGCGGGTACAGCGAAGATACACAACAATTCATGTTCATTGTCCACGCTTGGTCCTGATCGATCGAATCATTCCTCCCGCTGGTTCGAAATTGTACGAAACTACGCAGAACTACGTCATTGAGCGACAGCGTCGTTCGGAGAACCTTGAAACGTGCGCTTGACGGTTCTATCGTAAACTTTTCGCGCTCTTTCGATGTGATCGAAATTTAAAGGTACTTCGAGCGAGCTAAACGCACGGACTGTTCATCCGTGATAATCGGAAGGTGATTTGATGCGTCATGATGCGATAGAAAGAGAAGTGTAGTGCACTGTAAGATGTATAAAGTTTAGTTGGAGGATAGTTTCGCAGAGGCGGCTTAAAGGCTGCGGGTACATATTCGGTTGTGGTTCTAACCACAGGTTGAGAACCCTTAAAATGTTTCGTAGCCCGAACCCGAAGGCGATGTCCAGTGCGCCGCGCTGCAACGAATGGGGCTGTTTTCACTTTGGTGGTTGTTGTTTCTACGCTGCCGATGTATCCTGTGATTCGACGGTAACGATCCTCGGTGATAAAACGGCGACGTGCGAGTAACGTGTCCGGGAAAGGCGATATCCTGCGATTACGTGCATCGTTATTATTGCGCTCGAAGGTGCGCGCGCGCGCGCGCGCGTGCACACACTACATCTTGTATGTACACACGCTCGAGAGGCGCAACGATCTTCGCCTATGTGTACGTGTGTTTGTGGCGGAGCACCGTGATATGTGGAAAAGTGTGAAGTGAACGAAGAGAGAGAAGAAAGACGCGCGCGAGAAAGTATAATTCGTTCTCCTCGTCCGATGTCCGAACAATAAGAGAACAGAGTGGAAGTTTAAGACAACAACGCGCGTACGCGTGTGTTTTTCCCCACTCTGCTTTTCTTCACTCTATCTTTTTTCCATTTGTTCCTCTCGCGGACGCGTGTGTGTATACGACCGTTGTGGTTTCGACGCGAGTGTGTGTGGCAGGTAGAGGAACATCAAGGTAGCGAGAGGCAACGAAGCGGGAAGCGGCGTCGAACAATTTTTAAACGTCGGTCCACGAACATTCTGCTGGCCACGTTTAATCATTCTTTTTTGTATGGACAAGTTGTGACACGACGGTGACGCGATCGAAAGCAATTCCACTGAAAATGCGATACGAGTTGTTAGGTCGTCTAGCGTAGTATATCGCCTAGCGGCGACGGGCCCAGAGAGAAGCGGCGGAAAAATGGCGGCCGATAACGAAGCCTCTTGCACGAGTGACCCAAATTTCGCGGTGATTTGCTCGTTTCTCGAGTGCTTCGGCAAGTCTTGCGGCATCATCTATCCGGATATTTCACGGCTGCAAGAGATGCTCGAGAACACGCAAGAGGGTGAGTAAACTTAACGTGCATACGTGTGTGCAGGAAAGAGAGAGAAAATGATTGACCCGCCCCCGCGAGGCCAAAAGACTCGCGTGCGCTATTACTTTTGTTTCGGATTTTCAATGCGTTCCTGTTTGCAAATTTACCTTTGTTTAACATTCATAACAACGGTTTAAACGCTTTGTGATTGGCTTTGCTATTTAACGAACGTGATACATGATTTCCGATTGTTTTCATCCCCTTTTTTCAACTGGAGTTCAACACATCATCCTCACAGATCTTTGTTCTCTGTTCGTTTTCTCTGTTAGGCAACAATTAACAATAATAATAACTATCAAATGGTCGTAATGATTGACGAGCGTTTATATCTAAATTCATTGTTACAGTTAAATAATAATCGTATTATTGACAGCTTAGTTCGATTTGCTATCCACTGTTGTTATTTTCTCCCGTGCTGCCACCTCCCTTGTTGTCAACGTCGGTTACACGTGATTACTAGTTATGAATCGCGCGTTCAATTAAAGATTTGAAAACATTTTTTGTTTTACTAAATTCAATGTCTTATGAAAGATACATTTATATGAATGATTATTATTAACCCTTCATTCTTTATGTAATATGTGAACAAGAATCGCGTACTATCGAACAGACGTACTCTGTGAATCATAATGTATTTTCAATTGTAGCTCTTTTTTTTTATAATGGTTCGCTAAATTTCTTGTATTTACTATAATTGTGTAGTATTGTCTTGCATACTTGTAATTGCGATTCATCTTTTTTTTCTATAGTATCACAACAATTGATTGATCTTCACATCAAATTATTACGAAAAACGCGTAAAACAGTGTCACCAGAAAAATGGGAACGAGCATTGGTTAAGTTCTGCCATACATATTCCAATCAGGATGGATGGGAACTTGAACGTTTTGGTTACAAGAAAGCCCGTATTGCTGTTAAGCTCCGATTACTTAAAGTATGAACACAATTTCTAACAAAATGATATAATTATTGCTTGTTAAAGATGAGAGTCTATGTACGAGTATTGTATTCCAGGTTCTCCTAGAAACACAATTTGATTTGAATCAAAAGTTTAAGAATGAAGTAAATAAACTCGCAGCCAATGAGCTACGAGTGGAACCATTAGGAAGAGACAAAACTGGTTTAGCTTATTGGTGTCAGCTTGATGAGGAGTGCAATATAAGGGTGTACAGAGAAGATTTAGATGAGGAGAATTGGGAGCTCGTAGCTAAGTAAGTGTCTTCTACAAATTTTTAACTTCAGATATACGCATTCCACTAGAGGTCTTTAATCGTTATTGTATTATCAGGGATAGGGAAGGTGTAGTTAATCTTATAAATACCTTGTCGAATGGCGAAGTTGGGGATATTCCAATCAATGAGGATAGCAACAGTTTAGAGATCTCTGAAAAACCTATTATTGACACTGGACAAGTAACAACATCGCCGAGTTTGGAAGATGAAGTTGTGCAGGAGAACGGTATTCATGCTGATGAATCTGAGAAAGAATTAGACAAGAGCGGAGATGAAGATTTTGACGACGAACAAGATGATAATGACGATAACGAGGAAGATATGGAAGGTGAAGATGAGATCACGAACGATGAAAGTTCGAAACAAAACACTGAAGAAGATGATTCTCAACAAACAATACAGAACGAAGTAATGACACCAACTTCCATCGAGACGAACCCCTTAGAATCGGCAAGTCCACCCAAAACATTGAACGGTAAAGTTGATTCAGAAAAAGAAACTGTTTCATCTCACGAGAGAGAACTAAATGCTGTTCAGCAAACTGCAATTACTGCTGCTGCGTCTAATGACGTGAAGACGACTGTTGAATCGCATAAAACAGAAGAGCACACACCAGTGAGTAATTTGAAAATTGATTCTGAAGAATCAGTGCCTCTTAAATCAATCGGAACATCTGTTATCACATCACCTCTTAAATTAACGAACGAAATCAAGCACGTATACGAAGAAAAAGTAGTCACTGGAGTAGCTCCGGTTGCAACCGTATTAAATGTAACGAAGAAACACGAGGAGTCGATAGATGAAATTATGAAACCGCTGGATAAATTATCTACTAAAAGTAATTTTCCTTTTGCGTCTATGGATTTACCGACAAGTCATAGTAAACTGTCTGTCAAGCCGATTGACCAATTGGCTGCGAATCTTGTGAGGATGCAAGCTGAAAAACTTGAAAAACCAAGCGGAACGAAATCGTTGGAAAAGATCGCAGAGAATCTAGCAAGAGCGGGAAGTCTCGTTGGAAGCGTGATGAACGGGGACGATGACAGAATACCGCAGGATTTCTGTGCGAGAAGTCAAATAGAAAAAACGAATTCGCTGAGGGAGCACAGGGGTATGGATTTGTCGACATCGCCCAGAGGATGGGAAAGCGCAAGCGAACAGAGCAGGCCAGTGGATTTCTCTGGAATTGATTTATCTAGTCGGAAATTTAATAAAACTATGGATCTTCCATCGACCGGGTACAGAGCACAAGAATTTCAACACAGGGAAATGGATCTCAGTACGAAGAAATTGAATAAACCAGACGTTACGAATTTACCGTACGACGCACGGGCTGTGATGATGCGTAATCATGCGATGGTTGCAGACTTAAGTAAAAGACAAATGTCGTTCCCTAGCTACGACATGCCCTCTACCCCGTATCATAACGCTGCTAGAATACCTAGCAAGGAAGATCACAGATTACCAAATTATACTATACTCCCGGACCCGAGTAAGATCACGGCTTTAAGAATGAATCAGCAACCGGTGAAGCGTCCATTGGAAGGGGACGACATACAACAAGACATGCTGAAGAGATTAAGAGCGGATGTAATACCGATCAGAGGATCGGTAAGAGGAATAAGTAATTGGAGGAACGAAGTCAGCGAAGCTATCGAGGAACCGATGATGATGATTCAAGGTGAAGGATCCGGTAGTGATTGCGACGCGGTTAATCCTGGACTTGGGGAGCCGGTTGAGGAACCTACCATTTTTTTTTACGGCGAGGGATCTGGAGAAGAATGTGAAACGGGTAATCCTGGCGAGAACACATCGACCGATGTGACCGACAATAAGGAAAGCACCGAATCGAAAAACGAAGCTGATTCTGCTACTTCATCTTTGTCGTCGAATAAGACCGTGAACGAGGATAGCCTCATGAACGAAGTTTCCGCTGGTTCGTTGATGACTACGAAAAATGCCATCAAACTGAATAGAAATTTTCCACAATCCAGTGTTCGAAGTAATCGTCAGAGTGTAGGTTCCATGCAGGAGAAACCTAAGTTCAAACCGACGTTGGGAATTCAAATAATACCAAAAAATTCCAGTAGTCCTGTGAAGAGGATATCGAGATGGGACGTTGGGAAACCGGAAGAGAAACCAGAATGTGACAGTAGCATCATATCAAATGAAGAAGACATATCACAGAAGCAGAGTAAAACCGAGGATAAGGAATCGTCTAGTGAGAATCAAGATGTTCAAATAGATGCAAGTTCTGTAAGTAGTAAAGGTTCTAATTCGGAGGAGAGGATCGTAGAAACGGGAAACACGGGAGAGACTGTGGAAGAAAAACAAAAGGAAAGTCCATCTGTGCAATGTGATTCGTCGATATTCTTGTGTCAAGCAGACACATCCGAGACGCTTGATTTTTGTACAGAAAATACATCCACAACGGTATCGACGAACGATAAAGAGAATGTTTGCGACTCCGATAGTGTAGACTCGCACGAAACGAATACTTCCGGGAAGACGGATAACGAATGCAAAGCGGCGTCTTCATCTCCGCCAAGATTTTTTTTTGGGCCTAATTGTATATCATACACTTCCAAAGCAGATATATTTGAATCCCAGTCCGATCATACAGTTTCAACCACTATAGAGTCAACGTCAGACACGCTGCAGTACGAATGCGTTTCTTCCTCTAAACCAACGGAAGATGTGAGTACTTCCTACAAATCGGATGACTTTGGTGTATCTCAAATGAATAATAATTCGTTGAAAGTCAGCTCGTACGCACCTGAGACAAATGCTCCTCTTCGCGAGGGGGACATCAAGAACAAAGGCGGAAATGAACAAACGGTTTCATCGGAATATCCAGTAGAAGAAGAACATTGTGCAGTGCCAAAAACGGAAATGGATGTATCCGATTCCGAATCGAAAGAAGAAAATACGAAATCGTGCGCTGCAGATGTACACGATTCTATTTCTAGCAGCGAAATCACCATGAACGAATATAAAATATCTGAAGAAACAGAGATGTTAGACGTGACTTCGCAGCCTCACAGTACGAACGATTTGAGTAAAGAGGATATTGATATGAAAAACGATGAAAATGTGACACCATCCACAATAGAATTCACCCCAGCTAGTGAATCTGTGCAGGAAGAAAACAGCAGTATGCTGGAGGAGCAGAGCGAGCAGTTAGATGTAGAAAATGATGCCACCAAAAGGCTAGAGGCATCGGCTCCTTGCTCGGAGGATGAAGCTGATTGTAAATCAGTAATCAAGGAAACCGAACTAGAAACAGATTCGATACCTGTTAAAGATTCGTGTTCATCGTCTGTCGCACATAATTCTGAATCAGATAGGAAGATAGAAATTCCTACTTACGAGGAAGTGGATAGTTCGGCAGGGAAAGAGATGGGGCATAATTCATCCGCTGAAAGTTCTAAACAGAATGACAAAAATGATAACATCGCAGAGTTTCATAATCAGGAGGTGCAAGCGACGAATCCTGATAACGAAAACTCGAGGACATTAATTGATTCTGGGGAGCATTCGATGCATGATGATGCGGATAATAAAAACAATGAAATTTCAGAAGATTCTGAGGAAACGAAGAATAAAACACTCGTTGATTCATTTATCAAAAGCTCTGTGCCTGATGTTAATACTGAATTAGATTTCGCAGACAATTCTACTGTTACTAGTTCGGAATCAGTCGAACGATGTAGCAAAGATTCGCTAGTTCCTACGATAAGTAGCTCGGACGATGGTTGCACTGATGGCACTTCGGTAGTGACCGAAGATGTCAAAATGGAACCAGATTCCGAGGAGTCATCCTTCAAATATGAATGTCCTATTTACAGTGTAGTACCAGAGACAGTACCTGACGAAAATAATATTAAACCATCCAAATCTGACGCAGTCGAAGCTAAAGAAGAAACGAGTATATCTAATATAGTTGAAACTGTACCATTAGATAACCGAAGTTCCTCTGTTGATCAAAATTTCAATACGAATATGATTATTGATGATAAATTATCGAAATCCGATGAACCTCTTAAATTAGACGAAGAAAATGTGTGTTCTAATGAAAATTTACCTCCTGGCGAGGATACATGTGTTATTTCATCTGATGACACGAATAAACTTGGTGCTGTTCTCAAAGAAGAGAAAACCGAGGACACAAATTTAGACATTCAGCAAAATCTTGGAACGGAGCCTGTAATTACGGAAAGTGATGAAAAAATTGAAGATGAAGATGATAGTATGGATCAGTGTGAAGATATCACGAAACATGAAGAAAATGCTGAGAAGACTCACGAGCAAAATTCTACAAGTAACGTAACAGAAACGGTATGCAGTAGTGTCGAAAATAAAATACAAGAAGAAGATTTGGCTGAGAAATTAGAAATGGATGAACCAAAGTCGGATCAAATCGAGACAAATTCTGTAAATCAACAGGAATCAGACGAGCTCAACCAGTCGTTAGTTGCAAATTATGAGAGTAACGACTCCAACGGTAGCGATGATATCTTTGAGATTTCGCAAACAGGGTCGATCGAAAGTAAAAATAATTTGTATACAAATTCGGAAGAAACGGCGGTTAGCAATCAGCAACATGAAAAAGAGAGTAATGAAAATTTAATTGTGAGGGACGAAGCACTAACCAGTGATTTACGGAGTGTAGTCAGCGACAAACAGGAGTTAACACCAAAAGACAATGTTGGAGAACTTTCAAGCGAAGAAGCCGAATTTAAAGAAGAGGAAATGATCAGTGAAGAATTCGTAGATGAGGATAATAAGATTGAAACTAGTGAACGTAATTTGGATGAAAAATCAATTGTACATCAAGACAAGAATTTGAATAGCATCGCGGAAAGTCTTTCTGTAGGAAATACGAAAACGGACATGCCACAAATTTGTTCTAAAATTGAACCAACAAATAAGGAAAGTGTGAACTCGATATTAATCAAAACGAATAATTTAATGAACGAGATAAGCGAGGAGGAGGATAACGATTTGATAAAATCTGCAGAGACATTGAAGAATGCAGCTTTTGAACGTGAAGACAATTCTCAAGTTATAGTTTCTATCAATGCGATTGAAAATGATAAAGGAACGAAAGAGGGCATTGAATTTAACGATATTAAGAACGAAGCAACGTGTGAGAATTTAAAGGAACAGTCTTTAAAACCATTGGAAGATAAATTAATTACGAGATTAGACAATGATATTAAATCTATTAAGAATGAAGAAAGAGGATGCGCTATGGACGAATACCCTTTTATGGAACAATGCAACAAGTTGAAGGAAATCACAGAATTCGATGGTAAGGGGAATAAGTTTGATAAGCATTTACAGGATGATGTAAATAATGATTTTTCGCGATGTAATACAACAATCATGCACTCTACGCAAAATATTTTGGCACTTGACAAATTTGACAATATGTCCTCAGGTATAGATAAATCAGAACTGTATAAAAATAATATTTCGAACGTGCCGGCTGATTTCAAGCCTATGGATAATTCACAATTTTTAAACTTTATACCTGAAAAATCGGAAAACTTGCATATTATGGATAATCATGAAACTCTTCACGTTATCAGTAAGGGTATAAAAACACTAACTGAGAATACTATTCCCAATTTGACAGATAGTTCAGCGATTTTTAATACACAAGAAACGTCAGAATCAAGAAATCAAGTGATACACGATTTTAAGAAAGAAGCTAGTAAAAGATTAAGCGATATATGCGATATTCAAGATGTTCCTCCTTTAAAGTTGAAACCTCCGGATGTAGAAGATGACGAGCCCATACTAGAAGATCTGACGAATTCCAAAATACGATTAGATCAAAATTTGGATAATTTCAAAGAAACAGAAACTTGTAGTACTAAACTAAGTACGGACGTGGTATCGGTCAGTACCACAGATCAACTGAAACCCGAATGCAACGTAATCATGAATATAGGAGACGCCTCACTGAATGAAGTCATGCAAGAGAAAACAGAGGACGAAGAGAAAAAAGAGAGCTTGGAGATACAAAGTATCGAAGCAAAAGCAACTCTGTCAGATTCAGACGATTCTATGGGCGTGGATAACGAAAACTTGTTCAGTGCTGCTCCTGAGGATATGGATCCTTTGGCATGCGAAGAGGATGATACGTTAAAAAAATTAGCCGAGGAGCAAGCTGACGAATCTGGACAAAAAATAGGCTTACGAGTAAAATCCGTATCCGAGCTTGTTTACGATGGCTGGAAATTGGATTCCACCGAAATTCCGAAAGTGTCCCGGAAACGACGTAACAGTTCCCTTGAATCGAATTCCGAGGATGGAGGTGCGAGGCAGGACAATGAGGAAACGATGGGAGGTAAAAGGATAAAGTTGCGAGCGAAACGTACGCCAGATAAACAGCTGCTAAAGTCCATGGAAGAAAATCGGGTGGGAACGATAAGTTCGGAAGACGAGGGTGTAAAAAATAGTTCCGAAAAATTGGAAAATCGCGAAGTTAAAGAAGCTAGCGACGACCAAAGTGCTGCCCTTGCGGTTGCGAATGACAGGAAATCAAGGGGACGACCTAGAGGAAGACGGAGACGCGGTCATAAACGTTCGAGACGGGCGAAACATTCTGAATTTCAAACTGGTCAAACTCCTGAAATATCACCTGAAATTCATCTCGATGGAACGCCTAGTAATAATGAGTCCTTGAGTACGACACCGATATCGCAGAAGAAGCGGAAGAAAAGAAAAATGGTTTTGGGTCTTGAGATCGGAAGGGATATCGTTCCTGAGGTACAGACAGATGTAGCTCAAGACGAAACACCTGTACGGCAATCTAGGAGAATAGCACAGTTGAAAATAAAAGAGGAAGCCCATAGGCAAAGGATTCAGGAAGAAATTCTTCCGACTGAAAGGAAAGAAAAGAAAGATTCCTCAGAGAAGAAGAAGCGGAAAAAGCAAAAGCCTGAAAGCGAAGAAGAAATCGTGATAAAGGAAATAGAGAAAGAAAAAAAATCAAAAAAGAAGCGTAGAAAAAGGAAAAAGAAAAAAGTGTTGTCGAAATTCAACGAATCGAATCCGTGGCAAAGTTCTTCGGGTTCCAGTAGCGATGATGAGAACGAGAATGATGAAGAAGACGAGGAAGAAGAGGAAATAGAGAGCGAGGAATCTCTGCTATTTAAAAGCGATCATGAATTTTCACCGGAGAGCGATCTTGAGAAAGATCAGGAATCCGAGCCATTAAGGCGGGCGAGAACTGCGCAAAAAGCTCAGAGCGATGTCGAAGAAGCGGAAGATGAGTACGCTTGCCAAAAATGTGGCAAAGCGGATCATCCGGAATGGATACTTTTGTGCGATTCTTGCGACAAAGGCTGGCACTGCTCCTGTCTCAGACCTGCGCTCATGTTGATACCAGAAGGTGACTGGTTTTGCCCTCCGTGTCAACATAATTTGCTGGTGACAAAATTACGAGAGAGCTTGAAAACATACGATCAATTTACGAAAAGGCATGAGAATGAAGTTTTGAGGAAGAAGCGACTAGCATTTGTTGGTATAAGTTTAGATAACGTCCTTCACAAAAATGAATCACAACGCCATCACAAAGAGACCTCTTCGAGAGCATCTAGTGCAGAATCTGACAACGACGAAGATTCTTCGTCTGCTTCGTCCACTACAAGCACGGAAACGTCTAGCAGCGAAGAAAGCGAACCCGTATATCAACTACGTGAAAGACGAAGCGCCAACAAATACAAGTTCAACGATTACGACGCTATGATCAATGCTGCGATACAGGATGAAGTGGAGGCTGTCCAGGGTGCTGGAAATCAAGGAAGAGGGAAAGATATCGCGACCATCGTGAACGCGGAGAAGGAAGAGGCGCAGCTTCATTTCAAAAATGAAGATCTAGACATGGAAGAAGTTCCAGAGAGCAAAGACGACATAGCCAGGAAATCGGAGAAAGACAGCGACGAAGAATACAAAGTCGAAGCTGAAGATGCTATGGATGAGGAAGAAGAGGAGCAGCCAGATCATAAAAAAGTGGCAAAGAAATTTTTGTCGCGTAAGAAACATCGTAAACTGAATAGTCTTGACATAAGCAGCGAAGATGATCCTGAAAGCGACGAGGACTTCAAAGGTACAAGTTCAGAAGAGGAAGAAGACTTTGATGATCATATAACATCCTCCGATGAGAGTACTTTCATGGACGTAAAACGACGCAGTAGGAAAGGAGACTCGCGTTCGGTGCGAAGAAGCACTAGAGCCAGAACTACACGTTACGATGAAGACTTTAGTAAGTATAATGAATAAATTATTATGTTATGAATTTTATTAAATAACGACAGTTATAATGGATAAACTTCTTACAGTAAACGATGACAGTGAAGAAAGCGACAGGCCAAAGAGAAAGAAATCTCGATCTACTTGGGATTCGGAGAATGAAGACAGTGACAATTCGTGGGAGCAGAAAAAGAAAAGGTAATATTAATATTGCAGGAAGAGAATGTTTCTGTCCTAACTCTTCTTTATTAAGTTTAGAGTACGGACGAATATTTTACAATTAACGATTACCAAACGAAGACACAAAAATCGGAACACACACACCACTCGTATACATATTAAACTCGTAAGCCGTAAATCGTAATCGTAATCCGAAATCCGAAATCGTGAGCCGTTAATCGTTATCGCTGACCGTGGTCGTAACTCATTGTTCGTCGATCCGTATCTCGTCGCCAACTGTCCTTTTCGGCTGACTCGCGATCAGCCTTCGCCCAATAACGCTAACGTCCTTTTCTTGACATCGACTAATCGCGTTGCGCTCCTTCTCACGCTCACACGCACACATACGCACCCGTTCGAATTAACGCTCCGCGATCCGCTGTTGTTCGCGCGGCTGTTTACGATCTTTTTGCCTGCGATGGCCGTTCCGCTATTCTCAAAACTTCTTTTCAAACCGTTATTTCATTCCTACAATATTGCTAGGTGATTAATTCGATTAGACTTCAAAATAATATCATTATTAAATTTATGCTTTAGAAGTAGAACCGCATCGACGTCTAGATACAAACCATTACCAAAAACGAAGAGCAGAAAGAAAAAGAAGCGAAAACGTATAATCGAATCTGATAATCAAAGTGACAATGATGATTCGAATGAAGAAACAAGAATTGAAACACCGTGTGAGATGCAAACTCATTTAGAGAACAGTGAACCTGTAATCAGCAATGTGATGGATGTCAAACTTGATAACTTGAACGAAAATAACGAGACGAAAAATATTAACGAGATAAAAGATATGCAATTAGGAGAAATCAATCCGACTATACCTGAAATACCTGCCACCTTACCGTTGGAAGAAATAACCCAACAGAAAAAGAAAAAGGAAATGAAGAAGAAGACACCAACCATTCGAAGAAAAGTATGTTAATTTATATTATTCCTCCTTAACGTATAATATTCCGAAGTTTTAATGATATTCAATTATATTTTCAGATTATATACGGCGGCCTTCCGGACGAAAATAAACCAGAGGAAGAAGAAATATTAAGCAGACGGACGCGCGGTAGGAAAATGAATTATCAAGAGAATGCATCGGATAGCGAAGAGGTAACATATTTTAAATACCATATGAGTACATAAATATAAAAAAAAAATATTTTCCTCGGTACTAAAGGAATTAAAAAAGGCGTTAAGAAGAACGGGTGAAAGCGAGGACGAGTTTGTTGTGAATGAGGGCGAAGAACTAATTGATGACGCTGAGAAAGACTCTGACTCTGGTAATTGGAAAGAATACACTAATATTAAGTATAATTGTATCGTTATCGTAAATTAACGTGCAACGTCACCTTACAGGCGATACTTATAATCCAAAAAAGGATGGTCATAAATTAAAAAATAAATCGCCAAAAACTAGGAAACCGAGAAAAAGTAAGAGTCCTGGCGGCAAACGAAAAATGTTGAACGATGGGATGCCTAAACAAAGGAAAAAGCCTGGGCCGAAACCTGGAAGTAAAAACAAGTCACGGAAACAAAACTTTTTGCTTGGTTCAGTAATTCAAAGAAGAGACGACATCGTGGCGAACGTCATGGACAATCCTATGGGAGATATAGACTCGAAGATCGATGACAATCTATCCGAAAACGTCGGATTAAGCAGTACGGCTATGTCGGTGGCAGGCTCTTTTACTGGGGATGTACCGGAAGGTTCTCTGACCGGTCTCGGAGCCGGTGAATTAGCCGACTTGGACGATGAGCAATTAGAACAAATGATGATGGAGGACGAAGAATACGGTAGACGCCAGTTAGAGCTTGCGGCTATTGAAATAGCGAAAAAGAAGAAGAAAGAAGAACGGGAAGCGAAGAAGTTGGAGAAGGCACGAATAAAGGCGTTGGAGATATTGGCAGCTGAAAGACAACGAGATCCCAACGCGCCGGAAGGAACCGACGGAGAGGTACCAAAGAAAAAGAAAAGGGGTCGTCGCAGTAAAGCCGAGATTCTCGCGGAACAGATGCGCAGGGATGGAACACCAAATTTGAATGCTACCAGTTTGGCTGCAAGTATGCCGCAGAATCTAGTGACCGGCATCTCTAACATTAGTCCCAATCTGTCAGCGGTCATGACACCTGACGCGGAAAGGACAGGCGAAGGACATATTCCTATGATGACAGGACCAGACGGACAACTTTTCAACCCCGACGGATCTCCATTAAAGCCTAAACGAAGAGGACGTGGAAAGGGCAAAAAGACTCTCGCACTGGAGGCAGCTAGAGCCGCGGAAGCGGCAGCTAAAGCTGCCGCCGAAGCTGGTTTACTCGGAATTGGCACCGATTCAAATTCGGAAATAAAACCTGGTGAAATTCCGAACGTACTTCCTACACCAGGTAGCAGTACCTCTGGTTCGGCTCCGTCCACACCACCTGCTGTCGTTGTAACGCAAGGACCTCCCGTCTCGCAGACGCCAACCTCGCAAACTATTTATCCGTCGCTACCACCTGCTCAACAGTCTTCCGTTATCACCAGAATGCTTCAGTCTCAGCCTGTATCGAGTAGTCCGCAATCGTTCTCTGCTGCGGCTGCGGCAATGGGGCACAAGTACTTCGGAGGACCAAATCCTGCTGGAGGCCAGATAATGGCTGGTCCTAGAACAGGCTACGAAATGCAACCACGTGGCAGAATACCTTCTCCATACAGACAACCGGGACAATCCACGATCCCACCTCATTTTGCGGCCGTAAGATCAGGAACCCCTCCAATGAGAATGAGGGTACCTGGTCCGCAGATGTATCATACACCGCATCATCCGATGGATCCTTCTCCATCGGGCGGAGGACCGATATCAATCAACAATCGAGATCGCAGTTCCCCGCTTGGACCTGGACCGGCTATGATACCACCAGCCGCCGGAAGTCCTCTGGCCAAAGGCGGTCCTACACCTCCTCCACCACCTCCTTATGTTAGAGGAGCACCGCCCATGTCTAGGTTCGCAGAAAATCCGATGGGCCCCAGGCATCAGATGCCACCTTTCACGAACGCTTCGCCGGTTAATCACAACATGCAACAACCATCTCCGCCGCCTAACCGTCCTCCCGGCAACTTCTCACCGTATCATCCTCCGCCTCCCCCAAACTATCACTATGGTGCCTACCCACCTCCGCCGCCGATGTCAACGGCAGACGATGCAGCCGCGTATCAGGGTTCTCCGTACCCTGCGGATCATTTCTCATCCCCTGCGGATAATCAGCCGCCGCCGATACAAGCACCACCACCTCCGCAGCCTCCTCCTCAACAACAAGCGCATCCGAACGATGCCGGTGCTGGAAACAAACAATACGACGAAGAAGGTACCGGAGAGTTTGGCGGTTTAGTATCATATTTCAGTAGCCAGAGAGAAGACGATCTCGATTCGTAGCATGAGTGAGATCTTGGCCAACCCTGAGTCGTCGCGAAAACGGCATTAGACAATGGCATATTCTAAGTCAGGTAAGATCGCAACTTTTGCTCGAGAGGGACAAATACAAGAGAAACATAAAAGAAGTTTAGCAACGTGTAACGTACTCGTAAATTAAAAAAAAGTAGATATATATATATATTATATACATTATACAAATATGTGTCGGGGCATTGGAATGTTTGAAATAACGATGAAAGAAAGAGTATTTGCGTACCGTAACGTTCTAGCGTAATTTTGTACGCATATTGTACCGTTTTAAAATGTTTAAGGGAAAGTGCGTAGAGTTAGAATCGTCTTCCTCTTCGACCTCTAAAGCAAAACGTTGCTCGAGAAAACCTTTGTACTTTAAAACGAAAAAAGAAAAGCCGCCGAAATCAAATCCATGGTTGGCCAAGTGGAAACGAAAAGAAAAAATATATATACATATATATATATATGTATTAATCGCTAACAATGGAGCCTATTTCCTAAGAGTTGTAAGCTTTTTGTAATTAGTTCGAGTTCGATTAAATTTATATACGATGCGAACGACCAGCTGTTGGAAGCAGCGCGTTTCACTAGAGGAAGGATTACACAAAGATCTGACCAGAATTTTAACTGATTATTCATTAATATTCACAGATGAAACGATTCGTGCACAGTTACTCCCAGATCCGTCGTAGACGTGTAGATGTCCTCTACCCAAGAGATAAACTTTTAGTTTGCTGTTACAAGAAATCGGTCTTAGTAGTAATCAGATGATAAAAACAAAAGTTATTAAATGAATTCGGACTACGCGCCGTTGTTACATGTATATATGTAAATACAACATAAGTTCTTTAGATTATATTACATGTATTATACATACACAGTCACGCAGAATATTATAAAAATGAATTAGTGCAAAGGGCACAAATGTAATATTTAAATTAAACAAAAAAACGAGAGAAACGGAATCGGATTATAATAAATTAACAAATGGTGTGAAGACTACTACTATAATTATTTATAAAGAAAGATTAAGAATTTATGATAGGTATTATATATATTGTATTTTACAAATTTTACTTGATAATTATATTAAAACGAATAAAACATTTGGATATAGTTATATTAGAGAACAGGAGGCTGCTAAGTCCAATTTTAAGAAAGTGAGAGAGAGAGAAAGTGTGTGAGAGGATGAAAGAGAGATTGAAATTTAAGGAAATCGGCAAGCGTATGTAGATAAGTGGAAAATAGTTTCGAAAGGGCAAAAATCTCTATTCTATTGTGGAGTGCAATTACAAATACATAATTTCTATGTATCTACATATGTATGACTGTATATGTTTTCTTTATTAGGCATGTGCAACCGTATTGACTAAGATTAAGAAGTTCTTCTTTTCTTGTTCATTTTTTTTTCCTCAAAAGATTTTTTTTATAACGCTTTTTCCAAGCTTGTAAGGAATAAAAAAAGATATATATATATACAAAGAGAGAGAAATATATATATGTATTATATATACGATAATAATACTAATAATAATGATGATAAAAATGTAAAGAATTAAAATATTATATGCAAATGTTTCGTATTATTAAAAATCATTATAAATTTGACCCAAGGTCAGAGTTGCTCGTGCCTACAGCGCAGCTTTGAAAAGTTTATTCTTTGCATCCATCTCTTTAATTAGACAAATATTCGGAGTACCGTGCGTCTTCAATTCAAAGAAATGGATACAAACGAGTTTAATTGGATTGAGTGATTTACTGAACAGATACGATTACGTGCAAAAAAAGTGTAATAAAAATGATCAATGGACGAGAAAAAAATTTCTTTATCTTTATAGACATTTATGTTTCGTGTTACATATGTATGTATAACAGCCAGCCTCCTGCTCTTTGATTGACCTGCAAAACTGATACAGTCTTTGCGTCACAAAAAGATTCATGTATCTGTTTAGTTATCACACGTACATACCTAATATAAATAGAAGTTATATAAATAAAAAAGGAAATACATTATCTTAGGATTAGCTGCTTGGGATAGTTTCCTTTACTTCGTCAAATGTTTATAACGACCGAATTTGAATAATTGAGTAAACGAACGTGCATTACATGCCGTATAATGTAACAGAGAGTTTACTACCGATAATTTTCTTATTTTTACATCGATACTTCGGTTGTATAATACTGTTTAATGTACAATTTATTTTCTCTTCTTTAAACGTAACATATGTCTTCGGGCCGTTCGTTCTTAGGGTGCGCTTCAAGGAAAATGCGAATTTGTAATCTAAGTACATCTTGTTTTTTCACAAAGGAGGAGGATCTTTAGCAACCGTGCAAACCATTCTTCGTATTTGTAAATCATTCTCACGTACATACATACATACAATTTATAGTTACACACATGTCACCTTTTCCAAAATTTGGAAACCTAATCTTTGATATAACGACGATCATACGTGTTTGTATTAAACGAGAAGAAGAAAAATATTGAAATTTTTGTCGACATGTCCGAAGACTCGTTTTTTATCCAATTTTTAATTCCTTTGAATAAAAAAATGGAAAAAAATACGAAGACTCGATTTTTCGAACGGTGTGTATATATAGAAATGTATTCATATATATTTGTATTGCTTTTATGCATGGCACGTCCGCATTTAGAGAAATTCGTATAGTCCTTACGGGATATATTTATGATAACATAAGTGATTCGATCTCAAAACTGGATAAACGTATCAAACGTGATCTATGTAATTTCAAAGTAAAAAAGAAAGAAGATAGGGTACGTTCATTTCCGCACCTGTACCAAACTTTTTCGCATTTATAAGTGTTTCCTTGAAACGTAAACGGACGATGCGTCTTGTCAAGACAACAGTAAATGTGGTGCAGTTTAGCTTTTCTTTTTTCGTAAGGGTCTAGACCAAACGCAATTATTATATTACATGTTGTAGCCTAAATACATTTTGTAATAAAATTCAATATATTGAAATAATAGTGAAGGTGCTTATTTTTCTTCGAAAGTAATCGGTAATGAAAGAACAATTTAATTGTTTAATTTCAAGTATATTCTACATATATATTTGTATTGCTTTTATGCATGGCACGTCCGCATTTAGAGAAATTCGTATAGTCCTTACGGGATATATTTATGATAACATAAGTGATTCGATCTCAAAACTGGATAAACGTATCAAACGTGATCTATGTAATTTCAAAGTAAAAAAGAAAGAAGATAGGGTACGTTCATTTCCGCACCTGTACCAAACTTTTTCGCATTTATAAGTGTTTCCTTGAAACGTAAACGGACGATGCGTCTTGTCAAGACAACAGTAAATGTGGTGCAGTTTAGCTTTTCTTTTTTCGTAAGGGTCTAGACCAAACGCAATTATTATATTACATGTTGTAGCCTAAATACATTTTGTAATAAAATTCAATATATTGAAATAATAGTGAAGGTGCTTATTTTTCTTCGAAAGTAATCGGTAATGAAAGAACAATTTAATTGTTTAATTTCAAGTATATTCTAGAATGATACAAAATTCGTGATGCATCAGGTCAATCGTATAATGAGTTATATGAATTCAATGTTAACATTTTGAAATGAAAAAATAATATGACAACATTGCGTACGTATTTTTTCTACTATCTATCATGATATATATATATATATATCTTCTATAATTAATCCGCTTGTCGTGTCAAATATCAAATAAATGTTTGTACAGTTCTCAAAAGTATTTGAAAACGGACTTATATTGAACATATTACATGTACAAATGATATTATATATTGAGAAGTAACCGAATTTCTTGAGCAAAGTATTTTATAACAAATACAATGATCTTTTATTTGTATACAATGGAAATAAGAAAACTTAGGGCTAATGTTTGCAATCTAAGTTGCCATTTTGGTGTATAACACTGAATATCATTTAACGATTTTAACTTTATTGCTAAATACTTTTTCTCCTGCCGGTTTCACTTCGCCGAATCTCGCTTTTCTCTTCTCTATTCTGGCTTCCAATTCAGCCTAAAATAAATCATAATTACGAGAATTATGCAATACACAAACACACACTATTAACAAAATTATCATTTCTCTATTAATTACTTTTTCCATTAAAGTAGAGACAGATGTACCAAATCTTTCCGCCCGTTTTTTCAGTACTTCATAGGTGGTATGCTGTAAATACATAAAATTAATTACAGAAGCATATGAAGGAAATGCTTCATGTCCAAATAACAATATTTACCACCGGCGTTTTCACAGATGCAGCCGATATATTATTGTAGTTATTAATACTGAATCTTGCAGATCTAGCTTCCTTCTTAGCTGATTCCGACAATGGCATACCGAACTTTTTTGCTCTCAATTCTAATCTCTGTCGAATAAGATAAATCACATTAATATTCTATACCTGTAACTTTTATAGTTCAGGATAGTAGAATGTCAACTATTACCTCTTTGATACCAAGCTCTGATAGCTTAATGATCTTTCTTTCTGGTTGTGAAGTCTCAGTGATTTTTGAATCGGGTTCAATCTTTTCCGCATGATCATTCTTAATATCCTCGATGACTGGTTTTCGATTTAAAACTATCTTCTTCACACTTATATTACTTTCAGTAGATAATTTTCTTTTTTCATTAACTTCTTGCGAGTCAGGCTTACTTGATAACTCTTCTATTTCTTCATCCTAGTCAAACAAGTATGTTTCGTTCAAATTAAAAATTCAGTAGTACAATAAAAACTAAATACTTACACCGAGAACTGCATCCTCATCTAAAATTTCTTCTGTAGTTTCATCCAAAGATAATGCAGAATCTACCAACAAAAATAGTTTTATTAATATGCAGCTCTTTCATAAAAAAGCATACTTGGAAAGTTATTCAAAAGCATATACCACCATGAATAGCTAGTTGAAGCCTTTCAACCAATTCAGTTTTATTCCCATTGGTTGGAAGTCCTCTCTGCTTCAATTCAAGTCTCAAATCTGCAACCTGTTTAAGAATATTTATCGTCTGCATATACAATTTATCTCTCTTAGTTTCATAATTATAACTTGTTCATTCCTAATCATATGCACTTTGAATATAATATAGTATATATTGTGCCCGCATCTATGCTTGTACGGGAGTAATTATTCATATAAAAATAGAAATTAATGTTAAATTATTATAATATATTATATTTTATCGTAAGAAGTATTCCTCTTGACACAGGGGTTAGTTTTCCGGGTGTAGGATCCTATCAACAAGATAGTATTTAGTGTACCTTCATTTTCGAAAGCTCTGTGAGCCCTTTCTCGTAAGATGAATCAGCCATCGTGTAATAACTTCACTTTACTTTAATTGTTACTTTTACAATCACCGTTTTGCATGTCACAGTATTTCACAGTGTACTCGAGAATACTCCCAAAACCGGAGAAAGAATACCTAACGCAAACTCAAATCGAAGCGCACGCAGTTGCACGTAACACAAAAATATTCAGTATGTATATATACGTAGGTAGACCTTATACATATACTATACATACAGATCGATTATCTTTTCATTGCAAAATGTACGAGAATATGAATAACTAATTAATGTTAAAAGAAAGCTAAACATTTAATTAGGAAAAGGTTTACAAATCAATCCTATGAATGTGTTTTTACTAATTAAAGATAAAGTTTATATGCGTATAATAGCAGCGACATTTAGCAATTTCTAAAACGTACAAGTGCAATTTTTAAGGCAAATTGTTGGGTCATATTGAGCAGATAAAAACTTAAAAATTTCCC